TTTTTCATGGAATTCTCCCCAATTCCTGCTTGCCCCCCCCGGCCGACGAGGGCCGTTCCAGTGGGGCAGCCAGACGGGCCTCTGCGGTCCAGGAGGGGTAGGAGGTGGGGCGGGTGTGTGTGTTCTGGAACCGCTGCTTGCTTTTTTTCCCCCCTCTTTTCTTATTTTCCCCATCCCCGCTATGCACAGAGCGCTTCTGCAAAGAGATCGCACCAAGGGATTTCACCAAGGAAAAGGGAAATTTCCTTCCCTTTCCCCTTCCCTTCAAGTGGGAATTTCAGTGTGCAAAAGCCATTAGAGCCGCTGCCTTTAATAATGGGCTTGCCATAATTAGTACAGGCAGCATATACTGCGAAGCTGTATTATAGATGTGGGCGCGCAGATGCTTGACGTGGCATCTTATTTTCGCCCAAACCTGCTAAAGGATGCCCTGAGCGCCTTCGCTCAGGACACGGAGTCACCCGTGGCGGTGGGAGGTGAAAGAGCAGAGAGACGGGGAGGGAAGGAAGGAAGGCGAGAAGGTGGAAAGCTGCAGTCGCCAAATCCCCCCCCCCCCGCCCAAAGCTGGCTACGTTTTGTTGTGTTTTTTTTTTTTTCTTCTTCCCTGTGCATCTTGCCCAACGCATTTGTGGAGTAAATTACGTGGAGCCTCCGCGGGAGGAATCCGCGGCTTTACTGTGCAGCCTGGCAATGTAAATAAACAGGCAGGGGCGGGAGGGGGGAGAGGGCGGCGGAGGATGCTCCCCCGCGCAAGTGCTTAAATTTACTCGCCTTTTGTTTTGCATTGTTGATTTTTTTTTTTTTTTCCTGCGTTTAATTGCTTTAATTTATTTTATGCGCGCTTTGATGCTAAACATTATTTGGTGCTAATGAAAGAGTTCCAGTCCGCAGTAAAGTAATTGAAGGGCGGAGGGAGAATCTAAAAAAAAAAAAAATAAATACCAAAGGCACGGCAAAATAGACCGGTTTTCTGCAAATTAGTAGCAAGAAGAAGAGAATTAAAACAAGGGGCGGAAAGACTATTTGGGCTGATTCTGGTTTCTTTACATCCCTCCTTTATGCTCTTACCTACTTCAGTGATAGCCTCAGCGCAATCACAGAGCGAGAGAGAGAAAGGAGACCAGCCCGCATTTCGAGACCCCCAAATATCACTTGTATCTTCGTATATTGGCCAAATCTATTGAAAAGGCACTAAAATTTTGAAAGGAGTGACTGTCCTAAAGAAAGGGAGAAGTTCAGAATGATAGGTCAGGACATATATTAAGCTAAAAGGATCTTTCGGTATATTTATTTTACATGGGAAAAAGCAATTCCAAAAGCCCGTGTGTAGTTTTTAACAGGGGGAAGGAACCCAACGCGATAGTAGATTATTGGAGGCTTCCTTTTTATTTCGAAGAATAATAATTACAAGACAAGGGAAAAAAAAAAAAAAGCAACGCGTCGCCATTAAATAATTTGCTACTTTGATATACAACATTTTAGGTAGCACAATATTAATTCCTCTTCTTTTTTTTTTCTTAGAGGCTTGAACAAGGAAGAAATCCAGGTAAAAATATACACAGACAAAAGAGCATAGCAAGGAGAAAAGAACCACAGAGGTTACAGGGAGAAGGAGTAATAATCATTCATATTATGTACAGGACTATATTCGCTAAGTATAATTTGCATTCAGACTTTCAGGTCACATTTTCTAAATTAAAGGTGCTAAACACGACCACGTTACTTCATACCAAAAAGTACACAGCGAAGTACAAACGGAGATTTACAAATTACTTGTACTATAGGAAGACTCACATAGAAAAATGTGTCTATTCTGACTCTAAAGCCACATTTAATAGGTAGATAGTAATTCTATTGTACAAAAAAAAAAAAAAAAAAAAAAAGACTTCAATATAGGTAGTATTTTTTTCAGTGTCAGGAAACACAATGTATCATTCCTAGGGTTTTTAATTATTTATGCACTTATCATTTATCTATTTTAATATATAGTCTTTTTTCTGTGTGTTTTCCCCCCCTTTTCTTCTCGCGTGGGTTTCCGCGTTTTCTGCATCCACTTCTCTCCCCTCTCATTCCTCCTCGTCGTCCTCCGCGTCCTGTTTTTCCTGGCTGTTGGTGCCGGAGCAGGCAGTTTTGTTTTCTTTTTTCCACTTCATGCGCCTGTTCTGGAACCAGATTTTGATCTGTCTCTCCGTGAGACACAGGGCGTGGGCGATCTCGATGCGTCTCCTCCTCGTCAGGTAGCGGTTGTAGTGGAATTCCTTCTCCAGTTCCAGGGTCTGGTACCTGGTGTAGGTCTGGCGGCCGCGTTTTCTGTCGGTGCCTGGGAAATAAATACAGATTGAGATCAGCTGTGGGTTTAGGGGGGGATATATTTTGGGGCTGCTGGCTTGGTTTGCTCTCTTGCTTTTGTCTTTGGGTGCTGCTTAGCAAGTACCCATCCACTGCAGTCCCACGGGAGGACAACATTCTCCGAGGATCTGTACAACCTGGGACAGCCCTTTTTTTTATTAGCAAGATCAACTCGTTCTGCTCGAGGATTTCCCCACCTCACCTTCCCTGTTCTCAGCCCCCAAACCACCCCGGCTTTAATTTCCTTTCATTTCGTAAAGCATGCGGTGCTTTTTTTGTCTGCCTGTGCGTGTCTGCCAGTGAACAACAAACTTCAGAAAGTTTCCTGCCCTCGTAGGACCGCTCAGACTCTGAGCTCCTGCTTTAATTTTCATTTAGACCCCAGAAATTTCGGACGGATGGGGAATAAATACAGAAACACAGTGGAGCCAGAGCGAGAAGAGGCATCTGCTACCTACACAAATCCAACTATTTGTCCTCTTTTAAAGCTGTCATCAGGGCGCCTGCTCGGAAGGTGTGTGATGGTCTTAATTATTTCAGGGGATGGTTTAGGCACAGAGTTGGCCTGTGGGGTTGACAGGGGGGCTGCTACCCCCGGGCTGTGCTTGTGGGGGTGTCTGCAGATGAGAAGCGCCTCAAGACCTACCCCAGGCTCCCCACCACCCTCCAGCTGCCTGCGAGCAGGGTTTGGAAAGGGCCCAGCTCCTAATTCTCCCTTCCACCCGACATTTCCTGCAGTCTGATTGGAAATAATTCTACAATATGGTGTTTGTGATCCTGACTCTATTTTCTATGTAAATGCTATGTACATCTATAGTATAATGTATTCTTTCCCAGATCAGTGGGGATGGCGAACAGCAGCCCTCGGCCTCTCCTCCACACATTCCACTGGACTCCCCTTCTTCTTCCCTTTTTTACCCCCACCCCCCCCTTTCTTTTTAAAAGAAGAAAAGGTGCATTCGGCCTTAAAGGGGGGGGGGGAGGCAAAATAGCCAGGCTAGCTGTAAAGTAAAAATGTGCAGGTCGTGGAATGTGGGTTGTAAAATCCGCTGAGGGGAGAGCCATAAACTGCTGCTGAATAGGGATGACAACTCTATCTCTGCTCGCTGATGAAATTCCACAAGCGCGATCGCACAGTGGGCATGAGGCACCCGGGGGGGTGAGGGAGGCGGGAAGGAAGGGGGGACCCCGCTTTTACGACCGAGGTCGATTTTCTCTCATTTTAGGCCCAGCAGATCCCAGAGCATCCAGGGTTTTTTTTGAGCACAGGGTTGTGGTTTTTTTTTTTTTCCCCTGCTTCCAAACCCTCTCTAATGTTGATCCTCGCAGCGTCACAGGCTAACAGGGGGGGGAGTGGAGGGGCTTCTTAAATCTAAAGTCAGATAAAAGCACAGATGAAGTGTTTACGGCCAGAAATATTTGGTCTTTGATAAATCAACTGTAAAAGTGAATGAATTATGGAGCAGGTAATGGAAAGAACTGACCACCAAATAAGTATGAGGGTAACTCCTGCCTTTATAAGCCGCTATACATTGGCTGCTTCGCTGTTTTCTTTTTCCTTTGCTTCGCAGGGAGGCTGGCCCCCACTCCCCTCGCCCCCGAGGGTTACTAACAAGACCCTTTCCGAATATTTGGCCGCGGAGGGGGGCTGGCTTGCAGGGATGCTCTCAAATTGCAATCTGGCACGGCAGAGGCGAAGCCGCGGCGGCTGGAAAATGAGCTCACGCCTTTCCCTCCGCTCCCAGTCGGGACAGCAGCTCCTTTCTCCCCCCCTTCTTAGGATTACACGAGTGTAAACACCACCACGCGTGTAAACGAACACGGGCTGGGCTGCTTCGAGAGGGGGGAGCCCGGCCCGGAGCGCCCAGCCCGACCCTGGTGCGCTCCGTGCGGCCGGGACCGCTCCCGCGCGAGGGAAATGGATATTTATTAAATGTTAATTGACATTAATACCCTGAGCCGGAGAGCGTTGGTGAGCGAAGGCAGCGCGGCCGCCCGGCTTTCAGCGGGTTTGAGACACATGTGAGGGGGGCAGAGTGTCCCGGCGTGGGGCGTCCTGCGCCCTGCTCCGCTCCCGCGCATCACTGCGCGGCCTTCCGGGGAGTTGCGCTGCCCTGCGCCGCGGCAGCGTCCCGGGGACCCCCCTGCAGGGCCACGCTAGGGTCCCCAAAGGACCTTTCCCCAACGTGCGGAGCACAGCACACCTCTCCGCGGTGATGCTTTCGGGAGGTGACACAGCCAAACGTGCTCCCTCTCTCCCTCCATCCCTCCATCCATCCATCTGTCCATCCATCCCGATTCCGGCTGGAGTGTCACTGGTTTAAGAGCGGGGCTTTTAATTGCCCCGGGAATGATGTGTTGCTGTTTCTGCTGGCAACACGCTACGCTTAATTGCAGTGTCTGGGATATTGTGGTGAGGGGCTGGCGAATGAAGGTTTTGCAATCTAACAGAAAACAACCCAAGCTTGCAAGCACCTCCCATAAACAGTTCCTTTCCGAATCTATATCTATATCTACACGGGGGTAGCACAATCTCCATCCTGTAAACACAGGAGAAGAAGGGGCTGGCCATTATTTCTGCCGCTCTGTCTGTCCCCTCTAAGACAAACTGCCTTTTGCATGGCACATCCCCAGCCCCAGCAACACCAATAAATATTTAAAGCTAAAAGGATGGCTTGGGGGG